TCATCACTGCTGCTGCCGCTGTGCTGCCCACTCTTTTGCAATGGCGGTCTTTCCTCTTCTTCATCCACCTCCTTCAACTTCTCTTCTTCTTCCTTTTTCAACCTCTCTTTCTCCCTGACCGTCTCTTCTTCCATCTTCTTTAGTTTGGCCGCCTGTTCTTGGCCTCCTTCTTCCATCCTCTGTTCAAGGCCTTCTTCTTGGCCTCCTTCTTCTCCTTCCTCTCCTGCAGGATGGCGGCCATCTTCTCCTCCTCCTCCTTCGTGTATGGTTGGGTGGCAGTACCACCTCGAGTGGGCCCTACTCTACACGCAAAGGTATGCCAAAATCTCAGAGGAAAGAGGAGACGCCAGGGGGTCCCCCAGAGGGAGAACCCAACCAGCAACCCATACATCGAGTAGTCATCCATCGTGGTGTTGGTGCACGATAGGGGTCCCACTCCTCACCACGTAGACCTGCCCGGACACACTGACCTACAGATTGACTCTCTAAGGAACACAGGGTAAGACCCTGTCAACTATGGTCACTAACCCAAGACTACTCTGAGGCTGTCACTACAAAACCAGCAGCTGATCTGGAGGCATTTAAGGAGATCCCCCGTAACTCCTCAAGAATTCTTTAACGTCGCACACAGGACGACGTGATCAGCTTGGTCCTTCCTGGCGATTTCAGCCCACAACTCAGCCGTTCCGGCCTACTGTGCCACACCGAGCAGCCCGCCGGTCTGTACCGGTCCTTGGAGGGGTTCGTATCCCTCGGGACAGTCGAGTCGTCAGACACAGATCATCAGCCTTACTAGGTCCGATAGGGGAGTGGCTCAACCAGGCCTCAATACTTAAAGACGGCCCTCGTTTCAGCCCACAGCTCGGAGTTCAGACCCTCTACATTGAACTCTGTAGACCTGCCGGGCAGTACCGCTCATTGGGCTAGACGAGTTGTTTAACAAGCGCTCGCCGCTCATGCCCAGGTCTGCAAGTGCCAGAGTAGAGCTTTGGTCCTACTAAGTCCCGTGCAGGTTTGGCAGCAAGGCCCTATCCTTCATCCACAGAGTCCTAACACCTAGGACAGAAGAGACTCAATGCAGAAAGGAAGACAGACAGACTCAATTCAGCAAGTACCGTAGGGGTGTGCACATCCACAGGGTAAGGGAATAGGTTGAGGGGTCAACGAGGTATCACCAACTCCAGCTTGGTCAAAATCTTGGTCAGCAGCAACTCCGATCAACGCCTTGGTCAACGCCGAGTCAACACGAGCAACCCCCCAGTCAACGCTTGGTCAACGCCTGGTCAACCCTTGGCCAACCCTCTTGTCAACGCTCTGGTCAACTCCTCACCTCAGCTATGGCTGTCGGCACCTTCACCTTCGTCACCCTCGCCGTCT